CGTGCGCCTTGGGGCGTGCGCTCGGGGGACGCGGCGAGTGTGGGGGAGGGGCGGCCGGGCGGACGCCTGAACCCCGGCCCCGCTTTGCGTCCCTGTGCCTGTGGGCGCGGCCGGTCTTCCTTCCCCCCAAGGGCTGGATTGAAGCGTGAACTCGCTGGGATGATGCCTAGAGTCTCTGTCTCTCTCTCAGCAGGGTGTGGTCGTCGTTTGGGGGGCGTAGTGTGAGACTACATCTCCGATGGGCAGCCCTGCCCTGGCCTTGGGGCACTAAATGCCCCCCCCCCCCGCCGTGTGTGACAAATCCCAGAACACCCCACAAACTATCAGACGTTGGCAGCTCTTCTCCCTAAAGCAGGGGCTTTAGGAGCTTCCTGGGTTTGAATCTTGGGAGCCTCAGAGGTTCCTCTCTGTACCTCGCACGGTGACTGTGAAGTTTAGGTGTGACTTGAACAGAGCCTGATAGTGAACTGATACGTAATAGGCGCTCAACAAATGGTTACTTATATGTAACCATGTATGTAAATTATGTATATATAGTTAATATACTTTCCTAAATGTAAATTTAAAAATTCATTCTAATGTTAAAGAGTTAATAAGTATAACAGGTATGGATTTGTGGTTATCTTAAGGTTTTTCTTCGTGATTAACTGGAGCAGGTCCTCATAAAGTCATTGGGATGTAAACCCATAAACCCTCTGTAAAGTAATTTAATTTGGAATAATTGAGATATTTTTCTTAACCACTATCTGGGAGTATAACGATTGCTAACGTCAAATTTAAATATTTTATAAGATCTATAATTTTCCCTGTCATTTCTCTTAAATGTTACTGAAATCACTATCATAATTTAGAACCAGATAGATTTGAATAAGTTTACAGATCAATATCTTGCCTTCTGAAATCTGCTACTTGTTATTTGAAACTCAGGAGCCAAACAGATTTAGATAGTGAAGGATTTTTCTATGTTCATTCATTTTTTTAAATAGGTATTTGTTTGAAACCGAAGGTTTCCCTCTAAGGAATGCATTAGCTGATTCCCACAAAGTTTGATACACTGTTTATTATTATTATTCAGTATCACAATATATTTTAATTTCCTTTGTGATTTCTTCTTTGACCATGGGTTACTTAAGACTGTTAAGATTCCAGTCTTTTGAAGCTTAATTATGCATATGGTCTGCTTTGGTGAGTGTTTCTTTTTCTTTTTCTTGAAACATCATTGATTGTCCATATCTGTGGAGTTCAGTGTTGAATATCAACACCTGTGTGCAATATGTGATGCTCAAATCAGGATAATTAGTATATTCAGCATTACACTTTGTAATCATTTTTTTGTGGCACTTTCCAAATTTCTTGCTAACCCTCCCTGTTTTGGTTAATGTTACTTATGCACTTGAAGTGAATGTATTTCTGCAATTGTTGGGTCTAGTGTCCTATCAAGTTGGTTGATAGTATTGTTCACATTTTCTATATCCTTACTGATTTTTGTTTGTTTTATATACTTGTCCTATCAATTACTAAGAGAAGGATGTTAAAATCTCCAACTATAATTGAAGATTTGTCTCTTTAGAATTGATACTAGGTGCATATACATGTGGGGTTGGTATGTATTCTGGATGATTTGACCCATTTATCATATTGAAATGTCCTTTTATTTATTTATTTAGTGGTTGGCTAGTATGGGGATCTGAACCCTTGACTTTGGTGTTGTAACATCGGTTTCTAACCAACTGAGCTTACCATCCATCCCCCTGAAATGTCCCTGTCTTAAAATCTTTTTGTCTTCCAAGTATCTGCTTGGTCAGATACCAATATAGCCATATCAACTTTCATATCCTTGCTGTTTTTGTAGAATATATTTTTCCATTCTTTTATTTTCAACGTATCTGTGTGTTTATAATTAAAATATCTGTTGCAGACAGCATATAGTTGGGTCTTGCATTTTAAAATCTGACAATCTATACCTGTAATTGTAGTGTTTAGTTCATTTATATTTAGTGTAGTTATTGATGTGGTTGGATTTTAGTCTACCATATTGTCTTGTTTTCCATATGACCTTTCTGGTTTTTGTTTGTTTCTTGCTCCTTTCCTATCACATTTTGGGTTATTGGATTTTTAGCTGTTTTTTTTGTATAATATTTTTAGAGCTAGCAATATCCATCCTTAACTTATCAAAGTTTAATACGATATCACTTTATACTTCACAATTCATGTTTCTCATTTCCCACCTGTCAATTAACACCTTTACACTTCCCATTTCCCACTTGACACTCCTCCACCATCCATTTCCCACTTCCTACTTCTTATTTCTCACTTGGCAGTTCACAAATGTAATAACAGGTTAATTACATTTCTTCATGCTATTTTAATATCTTTTACTTATGTTATATTGTTGTTATTTTTGCTTTTAATGGTCAGCTGCCTTTTGAGGAAGTTATGAGAAAAAAAGCATAGTATTTTGTATTTATTCACTGTGTATTAACCATTTTGGTGCTCTTCGTTCTTTTCTGTAGATATGAGTTTCACATTACCTGGGAGAATGTCCTTTAGCATTTTTTTGTAGGGCACATCTACTGGTGACAGAGTCTACTGGTTTATCTGAAAACTGTGTTTTTTTTTTTTTTCCTTTTTTTTTGTCTTTTTTCGTGTCCGGCAACGGATCACAACCCTCAGTGTCGCGCCCATACCGGACCGGGACCGGCAATGGGATCGCCACCCTCGGTGTTGCGTCCGCACCTCGCTCAGCCAGTGAGCGGGAACCGGTCTGTATGGGGGATCCGAACCCTGGGCGGGAGCACCACCGTGCTCCCAAGCGGCGCACTGTAGCAGTGCGCCACCGGGCCGGCCCTGAAAACTGTGTTTTTTTTTTTTCCTTTTTTTTTGTCTTTTTTCGTGTCCGGCAACGGATCACAACCCTCAGTGTCGCGCCCATACCGGACCGGGACCGGCAATGGGATCGCCACCCTCGGTGTTGCGTCCGCACCTCGCTCAGCCAGTGAGCGGGAACCGGTCTGTATGGGGGATCCGAACCCTGGGCGGGAGCACCACCGTGCTCCCAAGCGGCGCACTGTAGCAGTGCGCCACCGGGCCGGCCCTGAAAACTGTGTTTTAATTATAGTTTTTGAAGGAGGTTTTTGCTTGATGTAGAAATCTATGTTGTAGTTCTTTTTCTAGAATTTGCATTTGTTTCTTTTTATAGTTTCCATTTCTCTGTAAAGAGACCCTCTTTTCTCATTAAAAGCATATTTTTCTGTAAAGTCCTTGGGCCATCTTGGAGATGGTTTCTCTTAACTGCTTTTTTCCTTGACTTTGGGACACATTTTCATGTTTATTTATTTAGTGATTTTTGGATCACACCCTGGGTAATATAGATGACACATTTTAGATGTTGAGGATTCTGTTCTTAATACTGGTGATGTTTTGTTCTAGCAGGCAGTTTGCTTACTAATTGATCACCTTAAACTTGCGTGGTCTTGGTTTTATGCTTTAATAGAGCAGATCTTTGGAAAGTCCAAGATGTTTCCCAGGCCTTCCTAAGTTGATGAGACTTGACCACAAGGCTGGGTCTCACCTGTGGACTTTAGGTTTTGTTAGGGCAGGTTAACATAGGTCTTACTCTAGTGTGCGGTCTTTACTTCTGTCAGGTAGCTTTTCATATGTCAGGATACCTTGGGTGTTAATGAGGTCTCTCCACTCTGGATGGTCAAAAACTCCAGTGTCTCTCAATAGTGTTTGGCCTTTTGGATATCTGTTTTGCTCTTAACCCTGTAGCAACTGGTGTCTGTCAAACCTTGCAGTTTCACTCTGCTCATGTACAGTCCAACTTTTGATCAACAGCTTAAGGGGAAACCCCATGCAAACTTCTGTCCCTTTTCCCACAGCTCCCTCCCTGCCCTAAACTTCAGATTTCAGCCACCTCAGCAGTTGCCAGTTCTGATGTCTGCCTCCTCAGTTTGGTGAGACCACTGTGCTCTGCTTGAGCTCCACCTTTCTGTGCTGTGGTTAGGAAATTGTCCCAAGCATACAGCCAGGATGATCATGGGACTTACCTCACTTCTGTCAGGGACTGCATTCTTGCCTGCCTTGTTGTCTAGTGCCTGACAACAGTTGCCTTATATGTTTTCTCCAATTTCCTAGCTGCTTCCAGGGGGTGGGCTAGGCTCTATTACCGGTTACTCTGCCATGACCAGAAACAGAATTCCCCAAGCATGTACTTATTGAGCACTTAACATCTGTCACTCTAGCACACTGGGTGCCATGTGAATATATGAATGAAATATGTGGGTTTCTTTTTAAACAAAAATAAATTTAGTGAGGTCCCCATGAGAAATGTGATATTGGATTAATCACTTTTACACCACTTTTCCCTTTTTATAACTTGAAAAAATTTACTTTCTTATTTTTTTTTAATGATTTTTTTGATGGAGGATGGATTATTTGCATGAAATGGTAGGGATGAGGACATTGATTCTTTTACCTTAAGAAAAAAGCAGCTATTAAAAGCTAGATTGTTATACTGACTTCTGATTAAGCCAGACACACAAGTGATTGGGTGTTTTTTTGATTGTTGTGATTAGAGTTATAGAGAAATGATGACCTCTAGCTCCTTCGTAACATTTAAGGATGGACCCACTAATCCAAAATTAGGATTATCTGCAAGAAAGTTAACTAGAAATAGTGCATGATTCTTTGAACATATCTTAATATTAGCTTTGCCATTTAATGTTTCTCTTTTCACCTTCTTAGTTGCCGTCTTCTTTATAAGTATGGTGTGCTAACCGATTGCACCACTGGAGCTCCATTAGTTGCTATCTTCTAAATTCTGATACCATTCACATAAAATAGTGAGGCCATAGGAATATTTTTGAGGTAGTCAGTATTTATTCTAAACCCTCTTTAAATAAGCCCAAGGCCGAAAGTTTCAGGTATGACCAGTTTTTCATAAATTCCCAAATAGACCTGTTTTCAACATGGCACTCAAAATTCCCAAGTAGACCTGTTTTCAACATGGCACTTGGAAATTTCATTATACCTGTTGGGGAAGACTTAATTTGTTCTCTTTAACCTCCTATTAATTATGGAAGTATCTGATCATTTCAACATTAGCCTTTATTCTTAGAGCATTAATGTAAAACCTATAGTAAAAATACTTTTCAGGGTGCATTTCATTCTACTTGGTCTGGACATTTGAAGACCAAGAGAGAACATTATAAAATGGGCAGAGTGATGGTGGCTGTTTAGATCTGGTATCAATCACTGGTTTGCTTTGCATCTTCAAGTTTACAATCTTTCAAAATAGAATAGTATATTCATTGAGCAGTTTCAAAAGAGCCACAGTTGACTCCCGGGCATCTCAGGTAGGGCATGTTAATTTTTTTTTTTCCTTAAAATATATCTCTTTGTACAGCACTCAGTTTCATTCTTTTTTAGTGTTTCTGTGAAGACCTGGTTGTCCCCAGAGACAATTCCACCCAGCAGCACGTCACCTAAAAGGACTTGCCAAGCCAGACGATGCCCACTGACCTGGGACAGGCCCTAGGCCTGCTGCCATCACTGGCGAAGGCCGAGGACTCCCAGTTCTCTGGAACAGATGCTACCTCTCAAGGGGAGCTCTCCAGCCCTGAGACTGCACGCCAGCTTTTCAGGCAGTTTCGTTACCAGGTGATGTCTGGGCCCCATGAGACCCTGAGACAACTCCGGAAGCTCTGTTTCCAGTGGCTGCAGCCGGAGGTTCACACCAAGGAGCAGATCCTAGAGATCCTCATGCTGGAGCAGTTTCTCACTATCCTGCCCGGGGAGATCCAGATGTGGGTGCGGAAACAGTGTCCAGGCAGTGGAGAAGAGGCAGTGACCCTCGTGGAGAGCTTGAAGGGAGATCCTCAAAGACTGTGGCAGTGGGTAAGCAGAGGGTGTTATGACTTGTGAGTGAAGCACCGGGCTCCTTCGGAGTCTCATCAAGTGTGTTGTCCTTTTCCTGATACCACTTATGACCCCAAATGTGTGGGATTTTGCCATGCCAAAAACCAATTCTCTGACACCAACTGAGTGTCCAACAATTCAATTCAGTTCTGATACTAACTATCTGGAGTTAGTGCAGACCCCACAGGTTCAGGGCTCAGTCCCACATAATCCCTATCCCCCACCCCCTTCAGATGCCAGTAGCATGTCCCAGAGGCCACCTGTACTTCTGACAAATTGGCTATATGTTTGGGGGTTCCCACCACCCCCTCTTCAGGTTTGATAACTCATTAAGATGACTTACAGAACTCAGGAAAGATCTTTACTTACGGTTACTAGTTTATTATAAAGGATACAACTCACTAATAGTCAAGTGGAAGAGATGCATAGGGCAAGGTATGTGGGAGGGGTGTGGAGCTTCCATGACCTTGCCTGGTGTGCCACCTGACCATTGCCTCCTTGAGTTCACCAACTTGGAAGCTCTCTGAACACCATTGTTTAGGCATTTTTATGGAGATTTCACTACTTTGGCACAGTTAATTAAATTATTTGCCACTGGTGATTCAAAATCTTCAGCCTGCTCCCCTCGCCAGAAGTGATGGTGGTGGGGAGGGAGGGGTTCCAACCCTTTAATTATGCGGTTGGTTCCTCTGGCAAACAGCCCCAATCCTGAAGCTATCTAGGGGCCCACCAAGAGTCACCTCGTTAGCATAAATTCAGGTATGGTTGAAAAGGGCTCATTATGAGTAACAAAAGACACTTCTTCCACTCCTGTCACTCAGGAAATTACAAGGGTTTTAGCAGCTCTGTGCCAGAACCAGGGGCAAAGACTAAATATGTATTTCTCATTATACCACATCTGGGTTTCCCCATACCTCACCTAATTCTAAGATTGTCTGACTCTTAACACCTTTTAGCCATTGGGAATTAAGGATAAAATCTTCCATCCCATTCCATCTTTAGAATAGAAAGTTTGAGAAGTTGTTCAAAAGATGCTTGAGACTGTCCACTAGGTGCTTGAGACTATCCAATTGGTGGAGACTGTCCGGTAGAAATACGATATAAATGGCATGTCTTGAAGGTCTTCCAGGCCTGGCTCAGGCCTCAGCTTTTGGTGTCTTTTGGAATATTTCTTTCACTGGACTGGAAATAAAAGCTGATTTTCTTTCTCTCTACTCTATGTCCCTAAAGACTGTCTATGATCTGCTGTAGAAGTTTAGCTTTGTATCTTTCAGAAATCCTGACTTCTGGATCCTTCAGTAATTAGTACTATATGGTCTCTAGATCAGCATTCAAGTTCTAGGACAGGAAATCTTATCAGAGAAGATGGAGTCTCCTACCTGCCACCTGGGGGAAGTGGAGCCCCATCTTGAAGTGGTGCCTCAGGAGTTGGGACTTCAGGATTCCCCCTCAGGGCCTGAGGAGGTGCTGAGCCACATCGTGAAAGAGGAATCTGACACAGAACCAGAATTAGGTGAGGGGCAGGTATTCATGGTGGTGTGTGATGCTATCTTGGAGAAATTTGGGGGATTGTTAGTAGGCTTAAGTGTGAGTTGGAAGGATCTGCTGCTTGGGGTAACCCTGGAAAGTTTGCAAAGAGGGTAGACCTACATGAGCCACTCTGATGTGGAGATTCAAAGTTTGTATTTTAAACCACTTTATGACTAGGCCAGACCATTTGGATTTTGGTTCTGAGGAAGGAGGTGGGAGAAAGTATGGGAGATACTTGTTTAGAAGGTTGAAGGGAGTTGGAGTTTGTTAGGGAGGTGACAAGTGTAGAAATTTGGATATCAGAATAGATGTTCTAATTTGTGAAGATTTTTGTCTGTGCCCTGTGGGGAGTGGTTAAGGAAGACATCTGGATTCTGAAAACTTTCTTTACTCACTTCAGCTCTGGCTGCTTCCCAGCTTCCTTTCCGACCTAAGGAAAGGCTCATCCGAGACCAGGACTTTGGAGCCTCACTTCTCCCAACAGCACCTCAGGTGAGCTGGTTCCTTGCTTCTCTTAACACCTGAACCAGGCTTTGAGGGCATCTCAGTAGTAAGTAGTCAAGAGGATTGAAAGGGGACACAATCTCAGAAGTGGAGTAGAGAGGAGGGCCTAGCTATGGTAACAATTACAGTACATGTGTAATGGATCCTGAGTTTCAATATTTCTCTCATTAGGAATGTTTCCTAATTGTCATCTTGAATGATGGATTCTGGCCTCTGGAAAAAGGTACAAGTTGGTGTGAAGAGGCAAATCTTGTCTCTACCCCCATATGGTTGTTTGTCCTCTTTTATTACCTTTGGGTTAGGCTAAGAAGAGACTATTTCATTTCCTAGACGAGGTCAACCACATAGAAGTCAGTTTGAGATTTTGAATGGTTATATCCATGTGGACAGGTGGCTCTCCTCCACCCCCAACTTTATGGAAGTATAATTGACAAACAATAAACTGCATATATTTAAAATGTACAATTTGGCAAATTTTGATAGACATATAAACTCACGAAACCATGACTATAATCAAGATAATAAACATTTCCATCACACTTAAAACTTTACCTCTTAGCTTTTATAATCCTTCCTTCCTGCCCCACTTCACCTGCCCCCACCATCCTGAGGCAACTACTGATCTGCTTTTTGTCAATACACAGTAATTTGTATTTCTTTAATTTTATATAAAATGGAATCATGAAAAATATAATCTTATCTTTGTTCTTCTGCATATAATGTATCTTTTTTCCTTTTTTTTCTTTCTTTCTTTTTTTATTTTTGCTTCATATGTTCTCACTGATTTTAAACAATTTAATTATGATGTGCCTTGGAGTCATTTTCATGTTTCTTGTGCTTGGGGTTCATTGAGCTTCTTGGATCTGTGGGTTTATAGTTTTCATTAAATTTGGAAACTTTTTGGGGCTGGCTTGTTACCTCAATCGGTTAGAGCATAGCCTTGTAACACCAAGGTCAAGGGTTCGGTTCCCCATACCAGCCAGCCACTAAGAAAAAAAAAAAAATAGAATAAAAAATATTTGGAAACTTTTTCTCCATTATTTTTTCAACTGTTCTGTTTTATTTATTTATTTTTTTCTGTCACCCTTATTTCTCTTATCCCTTGAGAACTTGGAGAATAATACATGTGGGATGTGTAAAATGATTATATATATACTCATACAGATATTAAATCTCTTCAAGTTGTCCCACAGCTTACTCTTTTTTCTTGCCTTTTTTTAAAAAAAATCTCTGTATTTCATTTTCAATATTTCTGTTTTTATGTCTTCAAGTTCATTGATCTTTCCTTTGCAACATATAATCTGCTGTTAATCCCATTCAGTATATTTTTCATCTGAGATGTACTTTTTATCTCTAGAAGTTTGAATTGGAGCTTTATTATATTTGTACTTAATGTGTTTAGTCTTGCCTCCAGCTTCTTGAATATGTAGAATATAGTTATATCTGTATTAATGTCCTTGTCTACTGATTATCACCTGTATCGGTTCAAGGTCAGTTTTGACTGATTGATTAATTTTATTATGAGATGTATTTTCCTGCTTCTTTGTATGCCTGGAATTCTTTGATAAGATATCAGACATTGAGAATTTTACTGTGTCAGATGCTGGATATTATTTTACTCCTATAAATGTTCTTAAGCTTTACACTGGGGTGTGGTTATGTTATTTTGACACAGCTTTTTATGTGGCACAAGAGAAGTTTTTAGTCCAGGGCTAATTTTTCTCACTACTGAGGCAATACTCTTCTGAGTGCTCTGCTTGATGTCCCTTAGTGTACCAGATTTTCATCCTGGCTCGGGTGGAAGTATGAACAATTTCTAGCACTGTGTGAGCCTGGGGGATTGTTCCCTCTGTTCTTTTGAGTGTTTTATTCCTGGGCTTGAGGGGGACCCTCTGCAGATCTCCGGAGCTCTCCTTGTGTGCAGCTCCCTCCTCTCTGATTTTCTGCCCTGCTAACTCTAACCACCATGGCCTCCCCAGACTTTGAGTTCCTTCTGTTCAACTCAGGGAGGCTGCTTGGCTCAGCCTGGTTTCCTTGTTCCTGTGCTGCTGCCTGGATTCTCCCCCCAGGCAGTGAGCTTGGGCAACTGCGGGGCTCACTTAATCTGTTTCCCCACTTTCAGGGATCTCTATTCTCCTTTGTTGTGGTCTGCATAATGTGCAATGTCTGAAAACCATTGTTTTATGTATTTTGTCCCCTTTTTTAGTTATTTCAGACAGTAAGGTAAATCTGGTTGCTTTTCCTCAATTTTGGCTGTAAAGAGCAGTCTGTGGGACAGGTTTATCTTAATTATGTAGTTAGCAACTCTGAAAAGTTGCATTTGATAAAAATAAAAATTTTTAGGAACATATACACCTTAATCAAAACATCATTTAAAATCTTGAGGGGCTTTTTTTTCTGTGCCGGTAGCGTTACTGCAAACGTGGTGAACATTCCTTAAAACCCTTTGGACTTTCTATAAGAAGTGTGGCAAACACCAACCTCACAAAGTGGCACAGTACAAGAAGGGCAAGGGTTCTCTGTATGCCCAGGGAAAGTGGCATTATGACAGAAAGTAGAGTGGCTATAGTGGGCAGACTAAGCCTATTTTCTGGAAAAAGGCTAAACTACAAAGAAGATTGTGCTGAGGCTCGAGTGCATTGAGCATACCTGCAGATCCAAAAGAATGCTGGCTATTAAACGATGCAAGCATTTTGAACTAGGGGGAGATAAGAGAGAGGGCCAAGTGATCCAGTTCTAGGCTTCATATTTTGTTTTATTACAAAGACAATAAAATCTTGAGGTTATGTTCATTCTAAAAACAAACAAACAAACAAAAAATAACCTTTAGGGAACTCTTCTTTGAACTTGCCTTGCAAGGTACTTTAGAGTGAAAGTAGAAATAGAGAAGGCAGTAGGTGGTGTTTAATTCAGTGCTTTAGCCTTTCAGGCTCAGAGATTTAGAAACAAAAATACTAGTGTTGCAATGTACCTGGGGGAAGAGAGATGGAGAGGTGGCAGGGGAGGGATATACCTATTTAGGGAATTGAGGATACCCTTCTTCCTGCTTTCAAGGTACCCAGAAACCAAGTTGTTAAGCAGCAGTTTGCTTGGTGAAAAATATTTGGGTATTCTGTGAAATATTTCAGCCAGGCTTGGAGGATTATTGTTGCTTCTCTTATATATACAGAGCATTCCAATGACAGGTATATATCATTTATTAATATATCTTAACTAGTAGAGTAGATAGACATTAACCATTACCCGTTCTGGATAACTTAAAGTGAAAAGATTCAAAATGCTCATCAGCACTGATTTGTTATTGACAGCTGGTATACATATATGTGTGTGTGTATGTGTGTTTATAATTACCTACATTTAGCTGATAACTAACCACCACTCAGCCCAAATAAACAGAAGTGATCTCTACCCAATCCCAATATCTCTTTCCCAAACTAACAATTTTTGCTTCAGAAATACCTTGATATATTTAATGGAATCCTTTGGAAGTGAAGGGAATTTTTAAATATAAATAATCATTCCCTCTAATCACTTCCATAAATTAGGAACTTAATAAATAATGCCCAAATAATGAAGTGGTACCACTGTCCCTGTGCAATAATGCTTCATTATCAGAAACCGTAACTTAGCTGGAACCTCACATAGACTCGAAGGATGAATTTACTCACATTCCTGTGTTTTCAAACTTAAAGGAAAGGAACACAATACAAATAACTCCTTGTGCAAATCAGTTGTGCTAATATCTCATAAACCCACAAGATGGTGCTATTTCCACACAAAAATAGGGATTATTCACCCATCAAAATCCTCCTACACCTCTCTTCCACAATAGGAAGTTAGGGTTTTTTCCTCCTCTTATAAATATGAGAAAATGGCAAGATGGCTGCCTTTGGTGTCTTGCCTCTTAAGTAGGGGGTTTTGTTTAAACATCGCCAGCTTCTTGGCAGTTCCTTGAGTAAGTTTGTGGCTTTAAGCTGGAGGTACACTTTCTGAGCCTCCTGAAGCAACTTCTGGTTTCTGAATGAGTCGAGTGTTACCCTTGGGGATTTTGATGGCTGTGTCCTTTCGTGTCTTGTACTGTTCGTGGTAGCTACTGTTCTGGTGCCCACAGAATAGGCCCTGTGTCTAGCAAGCCAGGCAGCCAGTCACACATTACTGTGCTTGCCATTCACATCCTTTTCTCTGCTAGCACCAAAGCAAGGGTCTGTATGTTCTGACCACAAAGACTGAGAACTCCTGTATTCAGCAGTGTTTGCTCAAGCTGGTTATTTTCAGGAGGTTGTTAAAATGGCCTTATTCACAGAGGATTAACAAAATAAGTTGCTAGCTATTCAAACTTTAATGATTAAATTTTTAAAGTTAAAATTCACTTTAAAATGTGGTTATAGTTAAGTTGACTTTTGGCTTCCTGTCCTTTCCACCCTAAAACATCCAACCCCTTGCTTTTTATTTTTTAGCTTAGCATCATCTGCTAATAGAAGACTTTTTGGTGTGTCCTTTCTCCTCAAGCCATTTCTACTTCCCTTTGATGTGCTAAGGGCAGACTTGATTTACGACTGAGAATACCTTTCCTGAGGAGTATATTCTGTGTAACAGAAAGATGACTTTCCAATTTCGCTCCTCATTTCTGCTCCCTGTGTAGCCTGGCTTTGCATGATATAATGCATGGCTATCAACTGTAGGGATCCTGAAAGTGTGCAGAATCTCTTAATTCTCTCTTCAAACCCTTGGGGTGAATCTGGGAGACTGCCCACGATAGTAGTGATATATATTATCTACTGAGGACTTATTTGTTAAGGGCTTTATTTCACCCTGACAGCATATATGGAGTGCTTATTCTGTCCCAGGCAGGGTCTTGGGGACTGGGAAAGTACAGTGGAGAGAATGACAGAGTCCTTTTTTCATGAAGCTTATGTGTGTATATATATACACACACACATAAATATTTAATAAGCTGTGATGAATGCTGTGAATTAAAAGTACAGTGTGCTGTGAAAACAGGTGACACTTGCATTATTTCTCTCAAACATCTCAGCAGTTTTTTTGAGTTCAGTAATCAGGTCACACAGCTAGGAAGTGGCAAGGCTGGGACTTGAAACCAGGTATGTCTGATTCCAAAGAATGGGTTGCTAATCACTCTGCTCGACAATCTGAGTTTCTAATGGTCGGCTTCTTTTTGGGAAGATTGAAATTTGAATTCATGAGATTAGACCCTAGTCTGATGGCATTCCCAGTTTTGAGTCTCCAATCTTTAGTTCCATAGGAAAAGAAGGGCTCCTTTTGGGGGATAATGGAGGGATACCTTGCTCCAGAGAACTCATCAATTTCCCACTAACTGGGAAGAAAACTGATTTAATGTTAGACCTTAAATGCAGAACTATTGGGAGATTACAATTGTGTACAGCTGTAACATCTCTCTCTTTGTATCCACTAGTTCTTGTTTCAGGGTAGGGCTTAGGAAGCAGTTGACTTCCTGTTGATCCTTCCCACCTTTTTGCTTATTTGCACGTGCTTTTCCAACAAATTCCTTTTTAATTTCTTTTTCCTCTTGAATTTCCAGATTTTAATTAAATAGTGGCAATATCAGGCCCCTACTGTTCAAAGACCCCTACTACAGGTGCTTGAAAAAGTTAAAGGACAGTGTAGAGAAAGCTCCTGCCTTCTGTATGTTCTCTACTTTTAAATACATGCAACTTAAAAGTACTGAACTTAAAGCCTAAATGTTTTATAACAAAGGCAAGAAATACGGATGTAGGGACTGTCATTTCCCCTTTGGCCGCTTCATCCCTTGAACCACTCTCCATGATTTCTTAGATCTTCTGATGGTCAGGATCCTATGGTACATTCCTTTCTCCTCGTCTTTCCTATGGGCAGGGAAGGCATGTTCAAAAACCTTCATTGCAGTCACACAGTATTGTATTATTTCCAGGAGCAGTGGAGACACCTGGATTCTACTCAAAAGGAGCAATATTGGGATCTCATGCTGGAGACCTATGGGAAAATGGTCTCAGGAGGTGAGGGCATGGGTTACACTGATGGAAGGAGATGGAAAGACTGGACATCTGTTAGGCATTTTCTACGCACTCACAGGACATCTGCTCAACTTAAAGTTCTCTAGGTGAAAGAAATCATTAGAAACACACTTGGGCACTTGGAGATTGTAGGGTAAGAACTTTCACATATTGAAAGTATTCTGGGTGCCAGGAACCTCATGAGTGCATTACATACAGTAACTTCTTTGATCTATGAAATGGGTAATTCCCATTTTAAAGATGATGAAAGTGAGTGTCAGATCAAGTATTTGCTTGCTGTTTCATAGCTCGTAAGTGCTGAGTTAAGATGGAACTTAGATGTGGCCAGTTCTGTGTACGTGTTCTTTTCTACTAAACCACAGTCCTCAGACTGTCATTGGTGGGGTCCCAGTCATGATCCTTGCACCAGCCTGCCGGATGGTCTGCAGGCCCTTCTGGTCACCTGCCCAGACTCTTATTTTTGTGCCCTTCACCATATAGTCATCTTGAGAGTACTGTGCCTTATAAGGTCTGCACAGTTCAAAGATGAATTTCCCTAAGTGATCTCTGGAGTTTTCATATTTCCCTTCATGCTTAGGGAGTTCCTTTGAAAGACACAGCTTGAGCTCCCAGTCTTCCTCATTCATCCAGGCCCACATACTTATCTCTCTCTGTAGCAGGCATTTCCAATTCCAAACATGACCTGATTAATTCAACAGAATATGGGGAAGAGCTGGTAGGACTGCATCTTCATGTCAATGAGAAGATCCCAAGACCCACCTGCATAGGTGAGTGATCTTTTATTGTTCTGGAGTCATTTCTGACCTCCTGTCATTAAATTGGAGGTGGTGTGAGAGGAATTAGGACTTTGGTTTCTATTGCCAGCTGTGTTTATAACTAGCCATGGTCTGGTCAGTCCAGTTTGAATACTGAAGTTGGGTTTCCTTGTCTCTGGCTATAGAGCTGTTGACATGTGAATTTAACCATGGAAGGAAGACAACACATTGGATCTGCTGTCTTCAGTCTTGTCTGTTGTCAGAGCTTTCTTTGTCAGAGAGAACTGAGATTGGTATAGATTGAGACCAATACAGATATGGGTAGAATTCCATTTCAAAAAAGCTTATGTAACAGACATTATTACCCTTCTCAGTAAGAAGATCCAAAGTAACTAGACTTTTTTTTATTGTGGTTATAGCGAATAGTAACCAACCCACCTCAGCAAAATAAAACAGAAAAATATATTTTATCTAATATCTATGCACATAGCATTCATTAAACAGCAGCATCAACAAATACCTCATATAAATCTTGTGTTTTAAGTGTGAGGAAGAAGAAATCTGAACTTGTTCCATTGTAAACTAGCAGTTACTCTTTGCCCTCTACATTTTTTTTAAAACATTGCAGTTATGTAAAACTTAACTGTCAAACTTACACACACACACATGTTTACATAAACAATAAATCCCAGGACCTTGGAGGAAGAAAAGGACCAAGGATGGGAATTATATGACAAGCCATTCTCTATTCCCAGTGGGATCTAATTAATTATTTTCTTTTGCTAATATACCACACAGAGAGCAAACATCAACTAAGACATAATTTTAATTTAAGCAATATATTTATCAATGTACTATTTCACAAGGATTTCTTTGGAGCACTATTTTTCAAACTTCATTTCATGATCAATTATTAGGATTTAAAAATTTTTTTGATATACTTTATTTTTTACAGCAGTTTCAGGTTCATAGCAAAATTGAGTGGAAGGTACAGAGATTTCCCGTATACCCCTTTGCAGTATAGTTTTACTTGTGATATATATAGCTCACTGTATCCCCACTCATTTTGTTTTATGGTGTGTTTTTCCCCCACTTTTCCCTCATCCCACCTGCTGACATGGCCTCATTAGATCCTACCTTGAACCAAACGCTGGGGAGTCTACAACACCAGCCTTTCCTGATAGACAAAGACATGAGATTGTAGGTTCTTGAGAGAAAGGATATGTGGAAAGAGGTTTAGGAAGACTAATCTGTAGCAGTGTGCAGGACAGATAGGAAGGGGACACTTGGAGGAGAGAAGCCTGTTGGAAGTCAATTCAGGAGTCCAGGTGTGCAGGGAAGAGACCCCAGATGAGCGCGGAAGCCACAGTAACAAGATGGGGACGGGCCGGTCTGAAAAATACAACAGTTGGCCAGTCTGCCAGGTCTGTACTCAGATCAGGGACAGAAGTCACAGGAGAGAGAGGATATGCTGTTTTATTTAACCATATGGTAGAACAGCTCATAGTTAAAGAAGCCCAGCAGGAGTCAGTCTCAAAAAGCCATATACCCATACTTCTAATCCAAATTCTGAGGGGTTCAAAAAATTATATGGAACAGTGATTCTTAGACAGTTTTTTGTTTGTACTTTTAATTTTGATTCTTAAAAAGTTATCTGAAACAATACAACAAGCAAGAATAGTAAAAAAAAAAAAAAATTAGAAGAAAAATGTTTCATGAATATTATATCTGTATATATTAAGTCTGTTGTTTTCTAAAGATCAGATCATGAAAATAGTGTGATACTGATATAGAAATTGATGTACAGGTCAGTGGAATGTACAAGGGAGCCCAGAGAGATGCTGGTCTATATTAGCATTTAACGTGCAGGGGCAGGGAAATGGCCCAAATGCATGGGGATGAACCTTGCTCCAGTGAGCAGGGGTGGGGCAGATGACTCTTTAGGAAAAGGAATTGATTTAGATTTCATGTGTGTCATATGTTAAAATACATTGGAAATAGATTTAAAAAGGATATAATATTAAAATAAAATAATAATAAGAAAAATGGGTAGATATTTGAGTCATGTCTGGTTGGGAAAGATTTTTATACATATAAAAGTAATGGAAACAATTATTAAGGAAAAGATGAATAGACTTGAGTATATTTAAAAAGCAAAAAACCCCCACAATTTCTGTACATAAAGATGACCCCAAACCAAATTAGGGGTAACTAAATTGGTGAAAGACATTTTTCTTGAATATGAAAAATAAATTATTATTATTTTTTTAATGTAGAAAGAGTTAAAGCAAGTTGATAGGAAGAAATGACTTTCCCAGTAAAAAATGGACAGCAATCTTTAGTATGAAAAATAGCTCATAAGTATGGGGGAAAAAAATTGTTTCATAACTAAGGAGTTAAATTTTAAGACAATGAGAAACTATTATTCACTAACCTAAATGTCATATATTTAAAAAATGTTTAATACTTAAGTATTGAGTACTCACCTGCCCCCCAGCCCAGCTTCACATACCAGAGGATGGCAGAGTTATTCTGGAAATTGGGTTGCCAGTAGGTGTCAAGAGTCTTAATATTCATGCCCTTTGACACTGTAATTCCAGTTTGAGGAATTCCTTTAAGGTACTGATCAGAAATGTGGGCAAAAACTTATGAAGATTTAAATGCATATCACAGCATTGTTTATAGTAGCAAAACCACATTAAATGACTTAGCTTTCCACAGTAGGAGAATTCTTTTTTGACTGGTAGGGGGATTGCAACCCCTGGCTTGGTGTGAGATTTAAATGCATATCACAGCATTGTTTATAGTAGCAAAACCACATTAAATGACTTAGATTTCCACAGTAGGAGAATTCTTTTTTGACTGGTAGGGGGATTGCAACCCCTGGCTTGGTGTGGTCTGCACCACGCTCAACCAGTGAGCACACTGGCCATCCCTATATAGGAGCCGAACCCACGGCCTCAATGCTACCAGCGCCGCACTCTCCCAATTGAGCCATGGGGCCCGCCCTCTTAAATAAATTATGTGTTTATTGTGACATCTCCATGATGGGCCATTACTCATCTCTTTAAAATGATATTTATAAAGGCTTTAAAGACAAGAGAAAGTACCTTTGCCATTTGAGAGGAATATGTTCTAAAGCTTTTTGAATTAACAAATTTAGGTCTAGTTCTCTAGCACATGCCTAGATCTCTGGCAGATAAAGGAAAAGACACTAATACAAGGGTACTTCATAAAGTTTGTGGAAAAATAGAATTGAAAGATAATACAAATCTTTTCATGAACTTTTTGAGGTAACCTCATATATGAATGATAAAGGTAAAAAAGCTTCTTTAGATCTACAGGGATAAGATAATTTATAGAAGTTGAAAATATTTCATTTGCCACCCAAATAAAAATTTTTACTATATGCATCATTAAGTAGTAATAACTGAAAACCTAAGTTATGATGAGAAAAACAAAATTTTAACTGCTTATGTGAGTTAACAATGCACTTGTAAATGCTGGGTTCAAACACAGATCAAAGGATTCACTTTTATACTTTACAGCCCCACTGTATTGCAAACATACTAAAATGACACATTCATGCATTTAATAAATTTTTGGGTTACTTATGAATGGGAGAATCTATGTCAAATGTTAAACTGATCGTATACCTCGGTTTACAATTTGAATGCTACATAGCCAGATATAGAACATATATACACTATGGTATCAATTATGTTAGAAAATAGCATATACATGCATACATATAGGTTCAATAAAAACGACTTGAAGGAAACGTATACTCATAGTTTTTTCGTCTGGGTAATATGATTGAGGTTGATTTGGTTTTCTTCTATATACTTTTCTGAATCTCCAAATTTTTTTTAGTGATTATCTTTATAAAAATCAATCATTTTAAAAGTAGTACTTGAATATAATATACTTGTTTTTCCTGGGCCTTAAGAAATGCGTGGCACTTATTTATGCAGGGATTAGAAAATCCCTCTACAAGCCTTCCTGTGCTGTTCAGAAATTCTCAGCTCCAGTGCTGAATCGCTTAACCTTGAACCCAGTGCAAGGGAAGGGAGTCCCAGGCGTTCAGGCTGAATGACCATTTCTTTTTCATTCACTGATGCCCTTTTTGTAAAAAGAATGAATGTTTTATAATGACCCTTTCTTTGACATGTGAGTTAGAAAACGGCATAACAATTCATTGAGCCATTTGAATATTCTTTCTTCTTTCAGGAGATAGTCAAGAAAATGACAAAGAGAACCTAAACTTGGAAAATCATAGGGACCAGGAACCTCTGGATGCCTCCTGTCAAGCCTCAGGAGCAGCACCTTCTCAGGCTTCTTTGAGGGGCTTCTTCAGTGAGGATGAGCCAGGATGTTTTGGAGAAGGAGAGAATCTCCCTCAGGCTCTGGAGAACCTCCAGGGAGAGGAGACAGGGGGACAACTCTCTCCTCAAGAAAGGAATTCCGGGAAGCAACTAGGTCAGCATTTGTTTAATCCTCATCCAGGAGAACTGTCCACCATGTGGCTTGAGGAGAAGAGAGAGGCCTCCCAGAAAGGGCAGCCGAGAGCCCCCATGGCCCAGAAACTCCCCACCTGCAGAGAGTGTGGGAAAACCTTTTATAGAAATTCTCAGCTTATTTTTCACCAAAGAACTCACACTGGAGAGACATACTTTCAGTGCCCCATCTGCAAAAAGGCCTTTCTGCGGAGTTCAGACTTTGTGAAACATCAGAGAACTCACACAGGAGAGAAGCCCTGTAAATGTGATTACTGTGGGAAAGGCTTTAGTGACTTCTCAGGATTGCGCCACCACGAGAAAATCCACACAGGAGAGAAGCCCTATAAATGTCCTATCTGTGAGAAAAGTTTTATTCAAAGATCAAACTTTAATAGACATCAGAGGGTTCACACAGGAGAGAAACCTTATAAATGTTCCCACTGTGGGAAAAGTTTCAGCTGGAGCTCAAGCCTTGACAAACATCAGAAATCCCACTTAGGGAAGAAGCCCTTCCAATAGCCAAACTCTCTTAGCCTATTTCTGTGTTCCAGTCCATTTAAAAAATACTCAGCTCTATCTGGAGGAATTGCATCTCTGAGAGGATATCTGTTCTCTCTCTTCTTCATGGACTGGAGAGGAGAGAACACAGAAATGGTGTTGGACTTGGAGGATATATGTTGGCCTCTGGATTGAATTCGACAATGGCTTAATATCTTGGTTTTGCATCAGGAGAAAGAATGTTCTTCATGTTTCAGCTCATCTCCTTTTTTGGACCCCTTGAGAAAAAAATCTCAATTGGAGATCCTGTTTTAGAAGTGCTATCTGGGAAGAGTTGAACTCAGGTAGCTGCAGTCACTGCTGCTGGGAAGAAAATTGGTCAGCCCTTTAGAACTGGGGTGCTAGAGCAGCTCTTCTGTTACAGAAGGGGGAGCATAGGAGGCCAGTGTTCTTTGTCAGACAGGTGAAAAATTAACTTCAAGTGCCCCTTATTCAAAATAAACGTAGAGTTACTTCCTATTTTTATTTGTGTCTGAAGTGTTCACTGTGTGTTAACTATATAACTCAGCACATTTTTCATAGAAGGCCATAAGTAGTAGCTGAGCTCCAAGATCAGCCCAAATAAACCTATCAAATTTATAATGTAGCAGAACAGTAACAGGAAAGTGCTAACCTAATGCCCAGGTTGTGAGAGCTTGGCCAGTGCTGGGCACACCTTTATCTCAGGTAACTCTGTCTGGTGTACTCTTCTTCAGCCTACCTCTCACTTTATCTCATGCCTCAACCTGCTTCTCTTTCTCCTGGCATCCCACTTAGGCTGTCATTTTTGCTAAAGTGCTTGATTTTTAAAAATTATCTTTATTATCTCATTTTGTCTGTAGGTGTTAGGAAGAAATCAATAGTATTGATCTAATTTATAGTACTGTCTAGAAGTTTATGAACACATATATCTAGACTGTCCAATTGTCCTTGTCTTCAAAAGTTACATGCCGTAAAGTGTCCTGCTCTTGTATGGTGAGACTTCCACCTTCCACCATCTTGGTCTTCTTCTTGCCTGGTCTTATTGTACTATCCTGGGCGAGTGTCAGAAAGGATGATGTTAATGTGAAAGAACTATCGCCCTGAAAATAAATTAACCTGTAGGCAGGAAACTGCAAGAGATTGACAGACAATGGGCGGTACATTACTGGTTAATGGGAAAGGAGAGACAAATTCAAGTTGGAGTTTCTGGATTCCAGGAGGAATTTGTTAACTCCCTTATGGCACGAAGATGAGGAATAAGGCTCCACTTAAGGGGTGTAGGAACTGCAGTGAAGAAAGCAGGAAAATCATGGAGGAATTGGCATTAGATTCTGTATTGTGCATATAGCAGAGATTTGTAGGATGTTGGGATCTGATGTTTAAATTAGAGGTTCTCAAAGTGTAGCCTCCAGACCAGCAGCATCAGCAATTTGTTAAACTTATTGAATCAAAAATACTAAAGTGCGGGGCCCAGCAGTCTTTGTTTTTAATAAGCTCTCCAGGGGATTCTGATGCCTGCTCAAGTTTAAGAACCACTGTTCTGGATAGTAATTAATCTAAAAAAGTAAGTCTCTGTAAGGATATGAAGGAATAATGATTCCAGAAGGAACACTGTGCCCTCCCAGACTTTTCTTACCAAACAAGCTGCCTTATAGAGCTCCTTAAAACTCATCAAAACTGTGGAATCCTCTGGGCTTCCAGAGAAAATTTGTTCCACAGAGGAAAATCTAGGAAATTTTCAGATTAAAAACTTTAGGGAAAGTGTTTCTCCTTGGGTTCCTGTTAAATTATCTGAAGGATGATAGAGGTACAGGAAAACAACCTATTTGTTCACAGTTGTATCCTCAGCAAATATAGTAGGTGTTAGATGTATGAATTAATGAAGGATAAGTATTTTATATATACTTTCCTTATCCTCTACAGCAGGGATCAGCAAAATAGGGCACATTGCTTGTTTTTGTAAATAAAGTTTATTGAATTGCAGCCATACCCATTTGTTTCCATACTGTCTAAGGCTGCTTTTGTGCTGCAGTGGCAGAAGTTGAGTAGTTAAAACAAAGACAATATGGTCTGCAAAGCCTAAGATATTTACTGTCTGACTTTACAGAAAAATTCTGGTGACCCCTCACCTAAGGCAGTGTTCCTGAAACCAGAGTGTGTATACCATCACCTGAAGAGCTTGCTAAAATGGAAATTCTCATTTACGGATGATGCTGCCGTCACTGATCGAATGATGTTGTGGGGTCACCAGGAACTAGGGCACTGAGTATAGTGCAGTGTAACAAGGTCAGGGCTCAGTGTCTGTGGCTTGTTTTGCTTGGTCTCTTCCTGGTCATTTATGACTCAGCAATTCTCGAAGCCTGGACCAGACACAGTTGAGAAATAAATCATTTTATTGGAAACATTGTGTTACAAAATTCTCTCCTAGTTTGAGGCCCATACTCCTCCAGCTCAGCCTCACTATAGACACTGCTCTCCATCCGAGTCCCTAGGGGAATTCTACAGAATTGTGGGTGCTTGTGATGTCTTATCTTTCTAAGTGTCTGTGTTCGTCCTTCACCCACCTGTCCTTCTAGGCAGGCTCCAGCCTAGGCTCTTTTCTCATTTTCTCTGGCTCTGCAGGAAGCTAAACCTGGAGAAGCAAGGCTACTCCAGCTAGAACCCATTTGGATGGGTTCTCCTTAGTCTTCAGGTTGAAAGTCCACACATAGGTGGGTCCCCGCTGACAAGTCTTGTACATAGGACAGGAATAGACACTGCGGCAATCCTGCTTATCTGCAGGAATGGCCTTGATGAACATCACAGGCATGGGGGGTGTCAGATCCTTCAGCTTGGCCTCTGTAATGATCCCAGCCTGAGGACAAGAACATGAGAAGAGCTGTCTTAGACCCAGAGCCTTGCCAGCCAGCCTTACTCCTGTCAGAAGATCCAAGGGATGAGAGACTGCGATGGCCTGCTGCTTCTCTGTCTGTCCCCTTCCGGCTTCTCACAAAAACCCATGATGGAATGCATCTGATACTTGGAAAACACATTTTTACTTTTTTCTGCCTAAATCACTTGAGAGAGTTCCTAAAGCTATTATTTATCACATACAGATAAATCCCCTTGGAGCTTGACTGTTCCCTAGTTTTATTTTTTCATTCATTCATTTCATAAGCATGTTGAATGCAACTATTTGCCAGATGTCATGCTAAGTGCTGGGGACTTAAAAATTACTAAGACACAGTTCCTGCCAGTAAATGCTTTAGATTAAGGCTTTGGTTACGTCCTGTTTCTGCCCCTTTTCAGTTTCATATGCTAGCTCATCCATCCTCATAGAGCATTTGGACATTTCGAGCAAAGAGAACTACATTCTATCTTTACTCATGTGATAGGGTCCTGACTGTTCTGTAGCTTCTCAGGTGAGGCCTCCCTGTGGTTTCTTGAGATGTCTCAATAGAGCTGTCTCGGCAGTTTTTTCTACTAGTCCTGATAAAGGGTCTCTTGGTCAAATTAATTTGGGAAATGGTGCTTACCATGCTCTGGACTTGAATCTTTGCAATGTACACTAGCATATTGAAGACGAGAAGTCCTAATAGTAAAGAAAACAATTCAATTTTATTTAATCTGGTGTTTTCCAAACTTATTTGACCACAGGACCCTTTTCTTTGCAACGTATTCATTTCCCAATAGCACTAGTGTTTTATGGAACACACTTTGGAAAATGCTGATCCAGAGTGACTCACAGATTCTTTGTGTCCATGTCACTCTGAGCCCCTTATGCTATAGACAGAGTTTGGTTTATTTTCATGAAATTTATTTAAAGGGAAGAATGTGCCTTTTTGGTTCTTTTAGAGGCTGATACATTGCATGGTGAGTAACAGAATAAGGTAAACAGAGGGAAACTCCTAGCCTCTCAGAACTGAGTGTTTATGTCAAGGACTAGGAGTGGGGGTGGAACCTTTTTTTTTCACCTATTATAAACCAAACCTTTTAAAGTGTACAATTCAGTAGTTTTTAGTATATTCACAAGGTTGTGCAATCACCACCACTGTCTAATTGCAGAACATTTCCATTACCCCCCAAATAAATTCTGTAACCATTAGCAGTCACCATTAGCAGTGAAATATAATTGACAGCTCCAATTATTATGGTTAAATTGTATATTTTTTCCTTCAATTCTGTCAGTTTTGTTTCATATATTTTGGGGTTCTTTTGTTAGGTGCATATATGTTTATAATTGCTATATTTTCTTGATTGAGCATTTTATCATAAAATGTCCTTTGTCTCTATAATTTCTATTTCTTCTATCTTTTCTTCAGTATCAGTGTTTGTCTTATAAAATCTGTTATGTCTAATGTTAGTATAGCCCCTCATCTCTCTTTTGGTTACTATTTGCTGCATATCTATTTCCCATATATTTGCTTTCAACCTATCTGTGTCATGACTCTAAAGTATGTCTCTTGTAGACAGCATATACTTGGATCATGGTGGGGGGGTTTTGTTTGTTTTAAACCCATTCTGCTAATCTCTGCCTTTGAATTATAGTCTTTAATCAATTTACTTTTAATGTAATTGCTCATAAAGTAGGATTTATGTCTGCCACTTTGACATTTATTTTTCTGTATGTCTGTGTCTTTTTTTGTTCCTCTATTCCTCCATTATTGTATGCTTATGTGTTAATAGATATATTCTAGTGTACCATTTTAATTTCCTTTTTAACTATATTTTTTGAATTATTTTCTTAGTGGTCGCCTTGGGAATTACAATGAACATTAATGTTTAGTAATCTACTTCAGATTAATTGCAACTTAATTTTAATAGTATACAAAAACTTTTTTTCCTATATAGCTATATTGCCTTCTCCTCCTTTGTGCAGTTTTCATTATTTGAATTAGATCTTTATGCAATTTATGCTTATCTACATAGATTTATTTTTTTAATTTTTAAAATTTTTTGAATAGTAATCTTTATTTATTTATTCATTCATTTTTTTCTTCTAAAGATTTTCTTTTCTTTTTATTTTCTTTATTGTTTTATGTGGTTGATTATTGTGGCCAATTACCAAAACCTCCCTCCCTCCTCCCTCTCCCCCCTCCCTCCCAACAATGTCCTTTCTGTTTGCTTGTCATATCACCTTCAAGGAATTGTAATTGTTATGCCTTCTTCCCTCCCCCACCCCCCAGTTTTTTGTGTATTTATTTATTTTTAGCTCCCACAAATAAGTGAGAACATGTGATATGTCTCTTTCTGTGCCTGACTTGCTTCACCTAATATAATTCTGTCTAGGTCCATCCATGTCATTGCAAACGGCAGTATTTCATTGTTTTGTATAGCATAATAGTATTCCATTGTGTAGATATACCACATTTTCTGTATCTACTCATCTGATGATGAGCATCTGGTCTGGTTCCAACTCTTAGCTATTGTAAAGAGTGCTGCAATGAACATTGGGGAACACGTATACCTTTGACTTAATAATTTCCATTCCTCTGGATATATTCCCAGCAGTGGGATAGCTGGGTCATATGGTAGATCTATCTGCAATTGTTTGAGGAACCTCCATACCATTTTCCATAGAGGCTGCACCGTTTTGTAGTCCCACTAAGAATGTATGAGCGTTCTCCGCAACCTCGCCAGCATTTATCTTTCACAGTCTTTTGGATATTAGCCATCCTAACTGGGGTGAGATGGTATCTCAGTGTGGTTTTGATTTGCATTTCCTGGATGCTGAGTGATGTTGAGCATTTTTTCATATATCTTTTGGCCATTCGTAATCTTCCTTACAGAAATGCCTATTTAGCTCTTTTGACTATTTTTTAATTGGGTTACTTGTTCTTTGTTGTAAAGTTGTTTCAGTTCCTTGAACATTCTGGATATTAATCCTTTGTCCGATGTATATTTTGCAAATATTTTTTCCCACCCTGTTGGTGGTTTTT